TACTTAAATTAGGGGTTAGTGTAAAAAGGGACGCACTTTTTCTTCACGCGCTTGGATGAACGTTTTTTCGGTGCCGTTTTTAAAGAGACTTTTTAGATGCTTGAAATAAATGACTATAATTTACATAAAAACGCGTAACAAGAAACAGTGTTTGGTAAAATGAGCTGAATCATAATTCTATTGTTTGTATTCTAGCAAAGACGAATAAAAAACAAAATTGTATGAAAGTGGAATGAATATTCGCATTCTGGGGGTGTTTTGTTGAAAATAAACAGTTCTTTATGTTTAACAAGTGAATTAAGGAAACCGAGCCCAGAAACGAAAAACAGCAATTAAGAATGAACAAATAAACAAAAAGCTTCCAAAGTAATCCTCAAAAGCTCGAATTTAGACCCAAAAAGCTGTAGTAAAAACAACCGAAGCAATCAATCCCACTTTCCGCAAAAAAGCTTGCAAAGTAAAAAATAACCTAAAACTGTATTTCAGGCGGCCATTGGAACAGCAATGTATTTTTAAAGCTGGGATCACTAGAGCTTTTTAAGCTCCGCCACCTACCCTCATGCACGATCCCCACTTATAAAAAATAGGGGTTGAAGGACCGCCTCTTTTTCGTTTCAAGCTCCATCATTGGTCGGAAAAAGTTTAGGATAGACATCTCATTAGGAAAACTTTTGAAATTTTATAGCATTCGACTTTCGTCCGTATAAATCACCGTAACTGGCGCTTGAATTTCGCTAAAGCTCCATATATACAAACTACCTATCGATAAGGATGAAAATTGCAAGTTAGTGTTGTCATTAATAGTGAAGGATCGTGCTTAGATCTCCGTATTGAAAAGCCATGGATAGTGGACAGAATATTCTTCAAAACTCAGAAAAATTAGCTCGTACTTGGTCGGTGTGCTTTCTAAAATTTATTGCCAATTTTAGGCTACAACGTTCAATCAAAGTGAGACTTTCAGTTTCAGGTGAATGACATCGATTAATCGCGTGTCGATTCTATCCTATTAATTATGAAACTTACGTAACTAGACGATTTAAGCTGCCTAGCGCAATGAAAACTAAATCTAGAATTTGCACGTAGGCGACTTATAAATGTTAGTCTAGGGGGAAATTTGCAAGGGGTAGAAGCGAACATTTTTAATGTGAATAGTTTGTTAAGCACTCCAAAGGGTGCAAGAACCGGCTCTGTAAGGCAAATTTTATTAAAACGAGACCAGGTTGGTTTCTGCTGCCGATGCATAAATCATAATGTACAAGTCGAGATCATTATATCACCAACAAGTGCAGTCTGAATACTTCTAGGGTTGCTTGTACACTAAAACGTATATTTCCTTAATAGTTGAAATAATTGACATAAGGATTTATTTCATATTTTAATTAGAAGAAAAATGATTAGCCTAGCAATGTGAAAAAATATGTTGATCATTTCTGTTTTTTGTTTATTACTAGTTCTTCTATTATAATGACCAAAGAAATTGAAAGGTATCTTTTGCATGGTTGGAGCTGGAAAGTAGAACTTTTGACTGGTTTTTGGGATCTGTATTAAATACTAATTCAAATTCGTATAGCAAAGAGCATATTTTCAGCTTCTTTTTATCACTGTGAGGGCGCGATCCTGTTTTAACGTTATATGAAATTTTAGTAAAATAATGGAAGAAGATTGTTTTAGACTGTCTCAAATTACTATAGTAGATGAAACATGTAGAATTGGTCCCAGAGTAGTTTTAAACGAGAGAAACCCCTTACTCTTGAGCTCTTTTCACGCCCCACATATCCTTTTTTATATTCTACGAGATACTACGAGGAAAATTTTAATTTCAGGTTTTTCAACGTTATAAAACACGTTAATGTTACTAACTTTAATGCTTATGAAGTCTGTAGTCGCCAAGCTTTAAAAGCCACATTATGAGTAATTAAAAGACGAGATAGATGGTAATGTGGACGTTAAGTAACATAAGCAAGTATAAAATATGTCGAGCAGAAAGGTTCTGCTACATCTGCATAATATGAAAAATTCCGACTAAGAGGCCACAATTTACTTTGAAATGGTTTTACTCAACTAATTTATATATTTATAAGTGACAAAATTATTTAAAAACAATTTCGAGGTACGAAGCCGTCTTCGTTTGCGCGTAACGAAGGTAATAATTACATGGAACGTAACCCATTAAAATATTTTTGAAACAATTCTACCATACCAAATTATCGTTTTTCAATGGGATGAGAGGTTATTTAATTAGTACGCATTGTTACCAATTTCGCTAATTATATAGAAGTTTCGGATCATTCTCAGGGCAAAATTAATTGGAAGGGCAAGAGAGAAACGGTAAAAACTGTATCCGTCGCTTAAAAGAAATGGCGTCGAGATGTCCGACGGATACTCTACGCCCACAGATAAACATGGGGGTGAGAATGAATGCTTTTTTTATAATAGAAGCGCGTTTTTAATATAAATAAAGCTATTAATTTACTTAGGACTGACTTAATTTTATATTTTATGAAAAATTTAATTGAATTTTTCTGGGGGTTGTGAATAAATTAATTTAAAAACGATCAAGAAAATGAGGACATATGTGCTTATAAAAATTGGGCCTAATTTTTCTAACACAAAGGCGTCAATAAAATTACAATTAGGTACATGAAATTGTTGCTAATCAATGTAATAAAGGGATTCTTTTTAGCGATAACACGAAGAACTGAATTACGACCATCCGTTTCAGGGCAATTGTGTCTCTGTCTAATGTCGTAAAGTAACTAATCCTGAAAAATGTGAATAGATGTTCGTACCATCAAAGTAGATTAGTTTATCTATATTTGTACGCACAGAAAATCTAAGTATAAGCTTTCGCTTAGTTTAACTAATTTAACAATCAAAGCAACAACATTAACCTTTTCAGCCCCTCTTCTATTTTGGCTTAGCCAGCTTTATCATTTTGGCTCTTTTTTCAAGTGCAGTTATGTCATTTGTAACACTATTACCCATTGCAGTATGCATATATTATATTTATATTTATTTATATTATATTATATTATATTATATTATATTATAATATATTATATTATATTATATTATATTACATTTTTTATTGATTTGGCGTATCGACTGCTCTGGTCTTCAATTACATTGCTACCTATGCATGATATTAATTTACAATTTATCGAATACATTTATCCTTTATCACGTCTTAAACTTTTCTGTTTCTATTTCTTGGATATTTATTTATTTATTATCCCTCTCTTGTTCTGAGCCCTCAAAAGGCTTGCGCCCAATTACCGAATGACCCGTATATCACATACATCTGACGCATTGGATCATATTGACGCATTGGATCATATAAGGGGCAGTTACAGTCAAACAATGTGTTCCACAGATAAAAGAATTGCACATCGTTCACACATAGGTCGCGGTTGGTTGATTTATTTGGGGCATTATTGTGTCATACGGTCAAGCTTGTTTTTGTTTACATTTTTATTTTATTGAACGTAGAATTTCTGGGAATTGTTGGGTCTTTATCTGTTATCAATAGATGAAATTTTATTTTTTCCTAGAATTTAAGTTTGGATTTATCTCTTAATGTCTGATAACAAATTGATTTTTAATAATTATTCGACCTCCATTTGTTGGTCTATTAACCTACGTAGTCTTTGTTGTCAACTGTGTGGTTGTTATAATTTTGATCAGAAGAAGGGTTTCGCCGTAAATAGAACGTTAACAAGAAAAGCGTCACTTTTTGCCACAGTCAACGCAGAACAAAATTTAAATCAGTTTTTTTGCCAGAGTTTACGCAGAGTCTTTGACATTAACAGCTAATGACATTTCGGCAGTTTAGTCGGTAACATAAACTACTTACAAAATTCGCCAGTCGTTTTATGTTTCAGCGTAATACTGACTCGTGTTTTAACCAATCACAGTGAAGGTCAAAGCTTCCCTGTGCTTTCTACCGCTACCTTCTTCAAATGAATACAGTATAGGTGTAGCTTATTCTCGGTATATACCTTCATTGTAGAATCGGCACTTTCCATTTACTGACTGTAGCTTGAATAGACCTTAAGTAGCTGTGCCGGCTGTGCAAATGCGACCATTCTTGCTATCATAACATTTTTTAAATGAGCATTAATATCATTTAGGGTAGATATTTCTACCTTTACTTCGGCGTTGATTTAGCAGCGTGACATGCCTTTCTATCGGCCCTGGGATGTTAAGATCTCCTGGTACTCACACAAATTTAATAAAATAACTTAAAGTTACCAGATGCCTAAAGGTTAATAATAGTACATTATATATCAAGGTAGAGAAGTCCACTATTATTGCCTGAGCACCAAGATTACATCTCGAGGCGCTTGCGCCGAGGGGTGTAAGGTGCGAAGGCAATAATAGACTTCTCTACCGTGGTATATATACTATTTTTTTCACTACTAGCACTTGAAATCCTCTAAATTAACATATTATATTGATAAGAGAGTTAACGGTTGGACATAATTGTTTGTTTCTTAATTTAACATGTCAATCAAGTACGTGGAAGTACAAGTCAAACAGGCCGTATTTTGTTCTGTCATTGAGATTTTTCAAAGAGTAATTTCGTTCGAATTTTTTCAAAATGTGATAATTTTAGGTATGTAATTTCTCTGGAAATTGCGAATGGTGGCAATTATTCGTTTTAGAGAGCTTGTCTAAACGTTCATTGAGCGAATATTCGGGTTGTGTTTTCTAAAAGTGACAGCGTGACAGTTCTCATTATTGACTACTAGTTAATAATAAAAAATTATTAACCACTTTGAACAAATGCCGAGAAAGCCTACTTTACAAGTGGAAAAAAGGTTAATAATCATGTCATCAGACGCTAGTAGTGAAAAAAATTAGTTGCATATCGGATCGCTGGTATAAATATCTTGCAAGCTAATGAGTGAACCCTGACCGTCGATTACAATGATAAACTTTGTCCAAGAGCCGAGAGCCTACCAAATAACTTAAAGCTACGCCGCAAAAATAAACGTATGTTGGAGGATCGACCACTCATATATTTATTTCCTTCCACAAACAAACTACATCCTGAACCAAACATCGGTTTTTTATCCATCTGTGTAAAGAAATAGGTAGTCGTGAAACGTGAGAAGATTTTTTTTTCATTCAAGATGGCATATACAGTATGTCCACGGATCTTCATGTTTGAGGAGCGCTCGTGCTAAGATATTAAAAAATGAGCCAAGTCAATTAATATACAGAAACGATCCTCATAACATGAAGACCCTCTCTAAAACTCTAAAAAAATTTTCATATACACCTTAGTAGAACCCTGACACTTTTGCCGCCATCTTGGATTTTATTCGCGGGGTCAATCAAGGTCAATTTAATTGACCTTGATTGACCCCGCGAATAAAATCCAAGATGGCGGCAAAAGTGTCAGGGTTCTACTCACCTTATCTGCATTCAATCCGTGGACAAATTGTAATTTTACCAGTGTTTTCTCTAATTTGTACGGGAGGTGGTCTATCATTTCATAATTGATCATATCAGGCCCAGGAGCAGACTTTTTTGACTTCTTATATGCATCTTCTAACATCGCATCGTTGGCCACCGTGGACGTAGAGGGGCGAGTCTACAGGAAACCCCGAGCTATGCCGAACTCGCCTTTTGTATGATTTCTGTGTTTTGTGACCGAAACCGTTTAACGCTCTATAATTTCGGGCATGCGGTTGATATATGCCAATCTCGCCTTCGGTTCACCCGGCATTGGTATGAACTCTGTGTTTTGTGACCGGAACCCTACAACACGCTCCAGAATTTCGGGCGAGCGATTGGATTAGGTCGATCTCGCCTTCGTCTCGCTCGCCATAGTGTACAGGGTGATTCAAATTCGTGGCTCACCATTGGGATCTCCGGAATCGTGAAAGATATAGTGTAGGTTAAATTGGGGGGGGGGGGGGGGGGGAGTTGCCCATTGCCGAGACTAAAAAAAGGTCTTTTGGAATTTTTGAGAAATCTTTGAAAATAACTGAAAAATCACCGAAATAGATTCAGATTCTCCGAAAAAAGGATGTTTCAAAAATTTCAAAAGCGTTTTTTTATTCACAAAAAGGGGCAACTTTGTCCCCATTTAACCTACCCTGTATCTCTTACCTTTGCGGAGATCTCAATGGTGAGGCACGAATTTGAACCATACAGTTTGTGCCTATGTATCTATTCTTAAAAGAAACAAAGTGCTACCAAATTCTACACGTGTTAGATAGCAACTGGGAGATTGATTTAGCTAAGCAACTACCAGGTTTTTGTGGAAATGAATATCGTTTAAAGAGGTGAAGCAAGGAAGAAGACATACACATACAATATTTCTGCAAAGAAACAAACTGGATTTCTTATAAATATTGTTGTTGACATAGACAACAAATTAGTGATGATTCTTGTGACCATGATGGCCGCCGCCTCCGTGATGACCGCCACCTCCGTGATGACTACCACCTCCGTGGTGACCTTCACCGCCATGATGACCTCCACCTCCATGATGACTTCCACCTCCATGATGACCGGAATGATGATCGGGGATGGCTTCGCCAAAAGCAAGTTGTGTAATACACAGCATCGCTATGACGACCACAATGTAAGCCTTCAAAGGGGAAATGATTTACATTTAAAGGAATAATTAGGTACTTACCACAATTACTCGAATCATTTTAAGTTCACTTGAACAACTGATTGAGAATGAGAAGTGCAAGTAATTTATAGGCGACCAATAAACACGTGTTTTGCACGTCTCTCGTCCTCTAATTACCTACAGCGCAATATGAAATGTTAAGTGTTATTGTTTCATAACAAATCGACCATTAAATATTTATTATAAGAAGGAAGTAAAAATTTATGTAATGTTTCTCTGTAACTATTAGCATTACAAATGGTTCTTAATTTGCTGAATACAGTATCGGATATTTCTGTAGCAACAAATCTGGCAAATAAACATTACCTTGGACAAGAGAGGAAAATCTTCTGTTCAAACTGTCAATGACTTTCTCCATCCATGAGAATGAATGGACAGTCTGATGACAGCCTTCCATTCTTGGATATGTTGGATAGTAGAAATAAAAATGGTAGCTTCTGCATATTTTGAATACCGGAAGCTCGACCGAAAGTAAATGAAAACTACTCGTAGGCTTATTTATGTTACCATCCTCTTCAAAAACGAACTGTTTTGAAATACTTATTATACAGGATCGATACGGAGAGAAAGCTCTCACGCTCAAAACGTCTGAGATATAAACATGAAAATTAGAACGCTTCCATTTGAAATTATTTCACATCTTTGAAGGTAAAAAAAATTTTTTTTACTCATGATTAAGAGTGCGACCGCCATCTTGAATTTTTATAAATGGCAACATAGTTCATGCGAAACGTCATTAGAAAGCTTATTTTTTTTGACTGGCTAATGTATCGCACTTTAAATTTAGATGCCTTTAAATTAACAGAACGTCAAAAATTACGTGAGAAATAAGTTTGACAAAATTTGGACCATTTGACAACGCTTTTTCTCCCTTACTTTCTAATTTAACACCATTCATGATTAAGGTTGTAAGAAAGGGGAAAAGTAAGCTTTCTAATGAGAAATCACATGACCTTCTCTCATAACTGTTAATTTTCTATAATGTGGGTTTCATCTAAGAATACAATTAAGGGGAACTGTGTTGCTTGAACGAATTTGGGGTTACCGTTACTTCATTAACCCACGACGAGGTTCTGCCACCTTCAAAAACTGGTTAAAAAAATGTTACATATGTTCCTCTTAAAACATAAACAAGTAAAATAAGTAAGTTAATAAATACTTTACAAGTTTAATCTTACTGTTTAGATACATCTTAGGTATATTGAATTACGAATAGTAATTTACCTTACGTTTAAGCAACTTTTTTTGTATGATTTTAGAAATTTATTCTCTTTAAACGTTGTAGAAATTACTCTAACCGTTGAAATCCTTAACTCTAAAGCTGCTACAAGGGCTACAGTCACCTAAAAAACTCTGGATCAGAAGTTATAGTTGCCTTTCTAAAACCGCATAAAACTAAGTTTTCCCCTTTGTTGGCACTGAAAGTTGCGACAAGGAAGGGAAAACTCAACTTACCCCTAACTCCTGTTCATTTAATATGTAAGAACTTTCTAGCAGGTGCAGGTTTAGTTTTCTTTTCAGAACGGTTTTTAGTTGTGGGAAGAGTTCGAAATTTCACTGTGTTATATCTGGCGAGTAAGGCGGACGTGGACTCTTCTGGACTGGATTGTTCTTAGCCAAAGAATCGCGAATCAGAAGTGACGTGTAGCATTTTCGTCTCAGGGTCATATAGCTATAGACTCCAGTTACAATTTTGGTCATATCTGTTTATCTCCTTCAATTCTATGCAAACTGAACCACTGTACAGACACAAACACAATTCAATCCTTTTTCTTAAATGTTTTCTTGTAGTTTTGTAGCAGTTGTGATTCAATGGCGTGTAGTGCATTTCTTACTTTCAAAGGTCATGTCTTCTCTTCGGAAAGGTCCGGGGAACCAACGGGGCCGAGGTTTCGGATCCATTTCTCTGGAAAAATGGCGTCTAAAAAGTCGAAAATAATGGCTGCATTATATGTATGCAGTGGTAACATATTGTTTGTAAGACATATTCCTTCAGAGGCGGATCTTCTGTTGCTGTTCAACAACAATATTACGTAACATTCCCAAATAACGTTCTGCATTCAAATTTTCTTGATACACATTAGTGCAGGGGTTAAGAGCCAAAATAGGTTTCAACCTTGCATTTTGTGATAACTTTATGAAACTTTCAGAGGATGTTCTAGACACCCTAAGCTTCAATTTCAGCTATGCCGCCACCCCCGCAACCCCGGACGGACTTGCTATAGCGGGTTTCTTAAGCGCAGGATAGCATTTCAATACCCGCCCATAAAATGGGCCAAAAATGTATGTCCAGGGTTTGTTTTGTATTTTCTTACATCTAGGAAGGTTGAAGGGAATTCTCAAATACCCAGGGAGAATTTATTTAGGGTATTTTACGTGGTTTGCGTATTTTTAAGGCGCTTTCAACAGTGCGGACTAGGGAATGCAATCCCGCAGCAAAATCTCAATCCCGGTATTTGCGGGATTGTTAGTTGTTAATCCCGCGAGATCCCGGTATTTGCGGGATCTCGCAAAACTTTAAATAAATTGGCAAATAAGCAATTCTGTGCGGTTAACTTCTGTATTAAAATAAATCGCTAATTATCACAATATTTAACAAAAAAGTACCTTCGGCCTAACTTAGAACTCAAAAAAACCTTACCTGTAAACCACAAAAAGTCTTCTAAAGTGCCTCAAAAATCATAGTACATTTTTAACTAAAAAAGTTTAACAATTATTTAAAAAATAATTCGCCGTTATCAGTTTCATTAACAAAGTAAACAGAGTCGTCCCCTTGGTCGACAAATCCCGCGGGATCCCGCTCCATTTATGTGCGGGATTAATCTCGCAAAAATGCTGCGGGATCCCGGCATTTCGGGATCCCGCAATCCCGGTATTGCATTCCCTAGTGCGGACAGTAAAATCGTGACGGAGACGTCTTTTGGCTGCTCTATTGAATATTATACTATGCTCTAAAGTGTAACATAACATTTTCAAAAATCTTATGGTAGATCAGTTGCCTATAAACCAGGTACCAACTTACCCATTTTCTAAATTATGTCCTATCAATCAAGGACGTCTTCTTCTTCTTATCACAGGAATTTTTGCGAAATAAAGGAAAGGTGGTGGGCAATTTTAGGCGAGGAGACAGATTAGAACGTTGATTCCATGAGACTACTACCCAAATTTGTAAAGTATAATTAAATATTTTCTGAATTATCAGGATTTGTTGGGTAGTAGCAAAATAGAAGCAGTATTTTGTTCTGGTGCTTAACAGTTGGTAGCATTTTGCTTCTTACCCATATTTTGGGATTTACGGAATTTTAGGCCACATATGTCACCACTGTGGGTAAGATAAACTCCTTATCCTCATATCATTATAGTTAACGTGTTTTCCCTTTTAGCCAATATTAGATTAGAATTAATTTCCATATAAAAAAAAACCACCGTACCAAGTTGTAACAGCCATAACATCTAGGTAGGTAGCTGTTGTCCGAGATGAAGTCGCTTATCGACTATTCTATTCTAGCTGTTTTAATTTTTTCCTTTAACTACGAGCATTCGTTGTCGACTGGACCACTCACACTCCTTCCACAGTTCCACCAAGGAATCAGGAGCATTTCTTGCTACTGCGTATTTATTCAACTACGCCAGCAGACCGCAAAAGACCTCGGACTCCAACCTACGAAACTACCCCTCCCCTACGAAGGCAAAGGTCAGATCTATTACACTTATTATGTACATTACCATCTAAAGAAGACACGAAGTAGAATTATTATCATATCACCTCATTCGTAATAATCTTGTGTCTCAATTTTCATCACCAATTTGTCAGGGTTGAATTCGTTGGTCAAAGGTAAACGTTAGGTTATGTATTTATGTGTACCGGGTTATACAGGGTGCGGATAAATAGCCGGCTGTTTCCCAGGACCCGTGAGGAGCGCTCTTAATTATTCTTTGCGTGTTATATGAACCACTGTAGGTGAAGTGGTAAAGGCGAATTAACCTCTCTTTTTGCTCGTATAATAACAGATTTTTCCTATTTTGTAAACTGCATAACTCATACCTCGATCAATATAATTATATTTTGTACAACAAATTATACACGCATTAATTTCCCGTTGATTAAACGACCTTGCCGCCATTTTGTTTAACTTATTAAATAGGGTCATAGCGATTTTGGAACAGCTTACTCTGCCTGATCAGCAGAGTCAAGTGCTTGGTGGATCTGGCGCCCTGAGCAGATGAGCAAGCGTTAATCAGCAATATAAGTACCCTTAGGCAGCTTACACTTTTTGGTGTACAGGTATACCCGCGACCCGCTGACGCTAGCTGGTGTATGGTCATCTCCATTTAAGCATGACTGATTTTAGGTAGTAGACGCTACAAAAGTATTTACCTATTGAGACATTACAGTGCTGAAAGGAAAGTTAACAATATCTACGGCACTAAAATTATTGAGCCCTATCTTGAGAACACTCGCTTCCGCAGTCGCACAATTCGGTGCAGGTCACATCGGACTTGACAAAGCTGCATCTTTGTGTGCAACCTTTCTTACATCCACATTTTACTAAGATTACAAAAGCTTCTGGAACTGGAGGTTTTAAAATCCAGACAGGCTCCCATTCTTGATCTTCACTCGAGTTTCTCCAACCCCAATCACATGGATCCGGAAGTTGCTGTTGCGCCAGGAGGCAATGTCCCCATACATGTCCTGCGAATGTATGTAGATTAAGTTTGTTTGTTGAATATGGATTCAATTGTAAATTCATCTATTCGCCTACTTACCGCCTCTCTTAAGAAAGGTTGCACATAAATATGCAGCTGTGCCAAGTTCGACATGCCCTGCACCGAATTGTGCGACTGCAGAGGCGAGTGTTCTCAAGATAGGGTTTAATAATTTTAGTGCCATAGTTATCGTTAACTTTCCTTTCAGCATTGTAGTCTCAATAAATACTTTAGAGCATAGTTAACTATATAATATTCAATAGAGCAGCCAAAAGAGGTCTCCGTCACGATTTTACTGCCCGCACTGTTAAAAGCGTTTTAAAAATAGGTAAACCACGTAAAATACCCTACATAAATTCTCCCTGGGTATTTGACAATTCCCTTCAACCTTCCTAGATGTAAGAAAGTACAAAACAA